GTCCTCACCTCCTTCTACAGGTGTGCAGTGGAGAGCATCCTGTGCTCGAGCATCAATGTGTGGCATGGAGGCTGCACAGCTGCAGAAAGAAAAGCTTTGCAGAGAGTGGTGAAGGCTGCACAGAAATCTGTTGGAATCAGTCTCCCCACCATCACAGACATCTACACCTCCAGATGCAGGAAGAGGGCCACCTGCATCATGAAGGACCCCACCCACCCAGCACACACACTTTTTGCCCCACTCCCCTCAGGAAGGAGGTTAAGGAGCATTAAGTGTAGAACCACTAGACTGAGGAACAGCTTCTACCCTGAGGCTGTTAGACTCATGAATCTCTAACTAGAATAATCACTGTGAAAAACCATATCATGTTGCTGCTGATCTGTTTCATGTTGCTGCTGATCTGTTTCAATGTTGATGTGTTCATGCGTGCACATCTGCTCACAGACTCATGTTCATGTTTGTGGTGATGTTCAATGTTTTATGTTATGAGTGCTTAGTGTATATTTAGTTGATGCATTTCTTAGTTCATATCTTAGATGTTATTACTGTTTTTCTTATACATTTTATTGTTGGATGTAACTGGGACCCTGTGTACATAATTTCGCTCCACCACATGTACCACATGAGGTGCGAATGACAATAAAGAAACTCTGACTCTGACTCTGATTCCTCCCTCACTCACATCTACTACATTGTCCTTACTTGATATGCTGGTAAATGTGTTTTATCAGTTTGAAAACAGAAGATACTCAAAGGAAAGAATGAAGAAACTTTAAACAGACCTCCTTATGGAAAACCTTGAAAATTGGAAGAAAAAAAAACAGGAAAAATGGGTGTAGACCTCACCCGAGTGATGAAAAACTATAAATGTAATCATTTCAGGATCAAATTACTTTTCAAAGGCTCAGTCATGAGAATCCATCTGTTCGTGTGACATTACTTTCATTATTTAAATGGATGGTGAGGATTAATCTGTCCCATCTGTTTCCCTTTACCTATAAAACCATAACACCCTCTGAGGGGAGATGGATGGTGTTTTTACAAAATGAAAACACACCCACCCCACACAAACTCAAACAGGGAAAATAACTGCCTTTCTCGCAGGCAGGAGTTATCACACACAGAGAAATCAATGATAAAAAAAGATATTATTAATTTTATTATTTATCTCAAAGGGCGTTTTCTGAGCTGAATTTTCATAGACTGAAAATTCCGCTGATTAGACTATCTGAGTTTAGTTTATTATATTGTTATTATTTGTCCATTTACACCTTCTTTTTTAAAAACACCAGTGGCACTCATTTGCCAACATTTGCGAACAACAAAACTGCATTTAATCTTCTCTATTAATCCTTGTACTGTGCAGTATTGTCCTTTAACATTATCACAGTTAGTGTTCTTTAGCAGAGGAATCCACCACGCTTTTTAACTGTTTAAGAATTCTGTTCTTAATACACACAACAAACTCATCTATACTTTTGTGCTATCTCAGCCTTAAATACAAAATATAAAATGTAAAAGATTTATTTATTTAACTCTTTACAGGACTTTAGTTTTTCTTTAATACTTCACATTTTCAAGGATTCAAGGTTCTTCATTTGTCATACACACCACATGTGGTACATGTGTTGGAATGGAATTGTGTACACAGGGTCCCAGTTAGATCTAACAAAAGTATAAAATGTAAAAGAAAAACAGTAATAAGATCTAAGATATGAACTAAGAAAAACGTTAACTAGAAATATGTTACGCACTAATAGTATACAAACAATACGCCCAACAGCAGCACGAACATGAGTCTGTGTGAGAAGATGAGTATGAATGAACACAGCAACATGAAACAGATCAGCAGCAACATGAAACAGATCAACAGCAACATGAAACAGATCAGCAGCAACATGAAACAGATCAGCAGCATGATGTGATTTTTCACAGTGATTATCCTGAATAGAGATTCATGAGTCTAACAGCCTCAGGGTAGAAGCTGTTCCTCAGTCTAGTGGTTCTACACTTAATGTTCCTCAACCTTCTCCTGGGGAGAGCGGGGCAAAAAGTGTGTGTGCTGGGTGAGTGGGGTCTTTCATGATGTAGGTGTCCCTCTTCCTGTATCTGGAGGTGTAGCTGTCTGTGATGATGGGGAGACTGACTCCAACAGACTTCTGTGCAGCCTTCACCACTCTCTGCAAAGCTTTTATTTCTGCAGCTGTGCAGCCTCCATGCCACATGTTGATGCTGGAGCACAGGATGCTCTCCACTGCACACCTGTAGAAGGAGGTGAGGAC